TTTTAGATCACCTCCTCTCCAAATATTCCCTGATTTTAGATCACCTCCTTTCCAAATATTCCCTGATTTTACATCACCTCATCTCCAAATATTCCCTAGTGATGTAGAACTTGTATTAAAAAGCATTTCACCGTAGAAGAAGTTCCAATTTGTGTGTCCTGTGCAGTTCCCTTCAGCCAGAGGAGCAACCAGAGATTGAGGGCTTTGGTTACAGTCTGTCAGAAGTGAAGCCAGGCAAGGCCTAGAAAGCAAATGTAATGTACCAATATGAAAAGTAGAGAGTTAAATTCAGAATATAGATTTTAAGCAAAAGCACAGAAAACTTGGTCTTAGAAACAGCGGAGCAATAATTAATTAAGGTGTGTAGAACACAGTGACACAGGAGAACAGAAACAGATGTACTCAGGAAAACAGAAAGAACTAAGAGGCTAAATTAAATATATAGAAGGAAAACAAAGGCTGATAAAGAAGGAAAGCGAGTCAAAACATAGGTACACCTTGCCAAGATATCAGGAACTTCTACCAAATACACTAGAAAGGTAGCCAAGGTAGGAAAGTTCCCAAAGTTCATGAAGAGGATGATAGGAGGGCTGGGGGCCTCTGAGGCTGAAGAACAGGAATGACCCTCCCAGATTCTCCCCAAATTGAAGACCACACCTCTAACTCCGCCTAAACTCCACCAGTTATGAATATTAAAATTGTCTGTTGCAATATCATGAATATTCATATTGTATTATGCAATTACTTGCCAAAAATTGTATCAAAAGACCAGCTGTGAGTTGCTGGATGGAAGCAGTTGCCCGGGGCGACCTGGCTGCTTCCCCTGAATAAAGCCATACCTCCTGCTTAAAGGCTACAAACTTTGTCTCTGAGCAGTTCCTTCGTCCTTGCCTTGTTGGGGGCATAAAATTGGCATCAGAAGTGAGCGTGGGAATGGGCTGATCTCAGCTGCAAGGACAGGCTGAACGAACCCTTTGCCGTGTCGCTGCAGGTGAAGGAGAACCTGCTGTCCTGCAAGATGCTGCTGCACTGCAAGAGGGACGAGCTGCGCAAGCTGTGGATCGAGGGCATCGAGCACAAGCACGTCCTGAACCTGCTGGATGAGATCGAGAACATCAAGCAGGTCCCTCAGAAGCTGGAGCAGTGCATGGCCAGCAAGCGCTACCTCAACGCCACCGACATGCTGGTGAGATGGGGTCCTCAGGACCCAGGGAAAAGAGCTTCCCTCCCCCTCTGCCCCCCCCTTTTGGGTAAAGGAAAGAAAGGAGGGGGAAAAAAAAAACCCCAAAGAACCGAGAAACAACAGAATCGAAGTGGTTGATGCCTGATAGGAGGTGAGAAAAAAAACTCTGGAGCGGTTAATTGAGGATGAGATGAGAAAAGGGTTTAATTCTGTTATAGATGACACCAAGCTGGGGGGGAGTGTCAGTCAGCTGGAAGGCAGGAGGGCTCCGCAGAGGGACCTGGGTAGGTTGGAGAGTTGGGCTGATTCCAAGGGGATGAGGTTCCCCAAGGCCAAGGGCCAGGTCCAACAACAGCCCCATGCAGTGCTCCAGGCTGGGCCAGAGGGGCTGGAGAGCAGCCAGGCAGGAAGGGAGATGGGAGTTGGGCTGGGCAGGAAGCTGAACATGAGCCAGCAGTGTGCCCAGGTGGCCAAGAGGGCCAATGGCTGCTGGCCTGGATCAGGAACAGTGTGGCCAACATGTCCAAGGAAGTGATTCTGCCCCTGGACTCAGCGCTGGGGAGGCCACACCTCGAGTTCTGTGTCCAGTTCTGGGCCTCTCAGTTCAAGAAGGACATTGAGATCCTGGAGCAGGGGCAGAGAAGAGCAGCGAGGCTGGGGAAGGGACTGGAGCACAAGTGCTGTGAGGAGAGGCTGAGGGAGCTGGGGGGGCTCAGCCTGGAGAGGAGGAGGCTCAGGGGAGACCTCCTCACTCTCTGCAACTCCCTGACAGGAGGGGGGAGCCAAGGGGGATTTGGTCTCTTTTCCCAGGCAGGGATCAGCAAGACAAGAGGGCTCAGTCTTCAGCTGTGCCAGGGGAGGTTTAGGTTGGATATCAGGAAGAATTTCTTTGCAGAGAGGGTGCTCAGCCATTGGAATGGGCTGCCCAGGGAAGTGGTGGATTCTCCATCCCTGGGGATTTTTAAAAAGATGGATGTGGCATCAGTGCCATGGGCTGGGAACCACAGCGGTGTTGGATCAAGAGTTGGACTTGATGATCTCAGAGGTCCTTTCCAACTCAGCTGATGCTGTGATTCTATGAAGACACGTGTCAGCCGTGTCCAGGTGTTCCAATTTATAACAGTGCCTGTCCAATATCATGTTGTTGTGCAATATTTTGGGTGTATTTTTTTGTATATATATATAATTTATAAAGATACATACATAAAGATATGTGTGTGTGGGTGAGGTTGCTCATGGCTATGAGAGAGAGACAGTGCAGACCTCGCTGATAAATAGTTTTCTGCAGTGTATTGTGCTGTTTTGTGTTGTTTGTCTGGTTCTTTTTTGTTTCCAGGACAGAGAATATTTTCCAGTAAATCAAATAATAATGATACAAAAAGCAGCTGTTAGTTCATGGGGGTTTTTTTCATATCTCAAGGAGTGCAGAGAGAGCTCAAGTGGAACCCGAACGTTCTATTTCAGCCTCTCATTGACACTTGCAATCCTCATTTGAGGACAAATGTACCTGTATAAAGCAACAATAATAAAGAAAACAATAATTCCCTTGCATTTGGAACCTTTTCCTGGCCAAAATTTCACCATGGGCTCCCTAGCCATTTGCCATCTCCTGTTAACACAGCTCTGTGGGGCTCTGATGTTGTAGTCACTGCCTGGCTGCAGGATCATTCCTTTCCCCTTGGATATGAGATGGATATTATGTAAAATCACTGCTGAGCTGTCAGGGAGGCAGAGTGTCCTTTGGTTTCACTCCTCAAGGAGAACACATGGTGGGAAAAGCCCAGAGTGATCCAACAAGGAGTTTTTATCCCTCATGTTGGAATCAGAGCCCTCATTAATGCTGTCCCTGGATCCTTGTTGGAATTAGACCTCTGCAACCCCGTTTGAGGTGGATGCAAACACTGTCAGGGCATCATTTCTGCTCGCTGCATCCCACTCCTGCAGCCTGCTCTTTGTATTCCACTCACATTAATTGAAGTAATTTTGCCACTGAAGCGTGTTTCGAACCCCCCTGCATTTAAATTGAAATTTTAATTCCCTTATTGTTTGGAAAAGGAGGCTGGAGATGGCTTGTTACAGGTTTCATTATCACTCAGAACTCTCCAGCTGCTGGTTCTAATGTGCAGTGACTGAGTAATGCGGGGAAGGATTGTTAATAAAAGAGTGGCAGCTTCTCCCAGTCGTACAAACACAATGCAGAGGTAGTTTGTGACAGCTTACATTTGTGTGAAGTTCAAAATTTGAAGTGACAGCTCTTTTTTTCTTTCTGGTTCTGCGTGCACCCAGAGCAGCACAGCTTCAAACATCAACTGTTCACGTTCTGTGCTCCTCCAGCATCCCAAGAACAGAGCAGAGCTGGTGTAGGATCAGCTTTGCTGTCCTATAATTGCAGCCTCACAGGTTGTCTTAAAAGAACCTAATTCCAGCACCCTTTGAGCTGGGAAGCTTTGGAGAAATTAGGGTTGTCTGGAACAGATAAAACTCCCGTTGGAGATGGAATGTGGTTTAGTTATTTGCAGTTTCTTTCTGTGGGTTTTTCATGGTGTGAGTTGATACCGAGGTGACTTTTCCTGAGGTGGATCTTTCCCAGACTCGATTGCTGATGGAAATGTTCATTTTCATGTGGCAGTTGAGAGCACAGGCACCCATTTGTGTGTGTTTTCTGCTTAATATAAAACACAAAAAGGGGCTCAGGGGGGACCTTCTCACTCTTTCCAACCCAGCTGGTGGAGCTGGGGAGGTGTCGGCCTCTGCTCCCAGGGGAACAGGGGACAGGAGGAGAGGGAACAGCCTCAAGCTGGGCCAGGGGAGGTTTAAATTGGATATTAGGGAAAATTTCTTCATGGAAAGGGCTGTCCAGCCCTGGCACAGCTGCCCAGGGCAGGGGTGGAGTCTCCATCCCTGGAGGGATTTAAAATCCCTGTGGATGTGGCACTTGGGGACATGGGTCAGTGGTGGCCTTGGCACTGCTGGGAAACGGCTGGGCTTGATCTTAGAGGGCTTATCCAGAGGGAGAACTTAATATTTGCCATTTGTTTATACAGTCTAAGAGATAAAATGCTAAAAGCAGTTGAAGAAGCCTTGCTGAATCAAGTAATTAAAGGTCATATCATAATAGGATTAAATAAAACCTCTTCAGGCTACTTTCTTTGCATGTCCTGACTTCTATGTGTCCAGCTTTGCAATTTTAATGAACTCATACCACTTTCTCAAAATAGATCAAGTTCTTTTTCTTTTTAAATCTTTTAATTCTGATAGACCATGAAACACTTACTCTGAACTTGATTTATTAGTCCAGGGATTGTGTCAGGTGAGAAAACACCATGAAACTGCAGAAATCAATCCACAGGATAGGAGGGAGGATAACTCCTGTTGCCAGTTGGGAATTTTTTATTTTTTATTTTTTTTGTTAGGACAACAAGAAAGAAAGTAAAAGTGGAAAAAAGGAAGGATGGGGCCCTCTGACCTGTGTTCACTTTACTTCACACATCCTTGTGTTCCAGAGTGAAGAACTCAGTGTTTTACTGTAGCCTGAGTGTCTTTGTCCCAGGAAACACAAAGCTCAAGTGACAGTAATTCATTTCTCCAGGGAATGCTCCAACATTCCTTCCCTTTTTTCCACGTTAAGGACTTAACATTTCAGTTTCCTGATGTCAGGAAAACAATAATACACGTCTCCTGCTCTGCTTTCTGATGTGAATACCAGCATCAGGATGGTTTTTTTGGAGCTGCAGCAGGGTTTTTTTGGAGGCTGAGCACTTTCTCTCTGTACCAGTCGGAGTTTCTGGGGTGGAGCTGGTGCCTGATATTTGCTGTTGGATTCAATTAAACCCTCTTGGCTCAGCCTGCAGCTGGGCAGGAGGGGAGGTGGCACTGCAGGAAAATGAGGGCATTTTCCATCCTCACCACTGGCATCCTTAGGAGGAATTAAATGTGTTTTCTCTCAGCTCCACAGGCTGTATGATCTCTGTTGGGTTAAATTTTGCTTCGTCCCGAAATCTCACCTTTCCATTGGGAGCAAACCAAACTGGAGATGCTGCCAAAGCATTTTACAGAAAAATGATCTATTTTTTTAACTGCAGGACTTCACAACCCAACCTGGTGACTTAGTGGGTGACAACGTGGGCAGAAATCAAAGGTGTTTGGATAAATGGAAATGCTGTGCAGAAATCAAGGAATCATGGAATGAGTCAGGTTGGGAGGGACCTCAAAGATCATCCAGTTCCACCCAGGTCAGGTTGGAGGGGGCTTGGAGCAACCTGGGCTTGTGGAAGGTGTCCCTGCCCAGGGCAAGGGGTGGGACTGGATGATCTTTAAGGTCCCTTCCAACCCAAACCATTCCATGAGTCCGTGTCCTCCTCAATAACGGTGTTCCCCAACATTCCATGCCCTCTGTGAGAGCATTTGGAGTCCTTGATGTCCTCCTGGAAAACTGTGGCTGTTTGTAGCCCTGGGCATTGTTGAGTTTTCATTTTTATTACTTGACTGGAGCTGCTACCCGTGGCTTTCCTCGGGATACACCCAGGAGAGGCTTTCAATTAAAAGTCCCGTGTAGTGAGCAGGCATTTTACACGCACAAGTAGCCTGGAATCAGGAAATAAATAAAAATAGCAATGCAGTTCCTGGCCTGCATTTTATTTACTCTCTGCCTTTCAGTTGGAACAAGGAAAATCAATAAAAACAGCCTTTCATTTTGTTTCTGCGTTCCTTGTCGCAGCCCTGGGATTCAGGTGCTGCCCTGGAAGAGTTTTATATTTTGGAATTAATGCTGAAAAGGGGAAATATAAGAGACTTTTGGTTTGGGGTTGTAAAGAAATGGCTTTAATGGTAAATTTAAATTTTGACTCTGCTTGAAATTCTCTTTTTTTTTTTTCCCCTGAATTACACAAATAATGTTATTTGTGTAATGGTTCTTGGCTTAAAGTCTTTTCCTGGTGAATATGTCCTGTCACCCCTGACCTTACTGTTCCCAAAGAAGCCTTTTGAGAAGTGGCATCTCAAGG